ACAATACCGGTCAGTGCGTACTGCGATATGAACACAATGGGCGGTGGATGGACGGTAGGTCCTTTATTTTAGAATAAAAAGTACTCTTGTATCGATGATTTTAAGAATTGTAGGATTTTATTGTAGTTTATATCAAAACATATGGATCCTATGATTGATCGAAGCAATATATTGAATTGTTACGCATGTTAATTTTCAAAGGCCATTCAGAAACGCGTAGACGGATCCGTGACCTTTGACAGGAACTGGGCGGATTATAAGAATGGATTTGGTTCACCAGAACAGAACGTTTGGATTGGTAAGTGTAAATCGGTTTTAAATAAAAAATTTTTATTCATTCTAAGTTTGAAGAAATTCTTGTGGTAAGTAAAAAATTATAATGCGTAATAAAGATCTAATTTTAAGACTGGGTAATGTGTGTTTCATGATATTTAGATATCGTGTTTAATTGATATTTCAAATGATAAAATAATAGAAAAGAAGAATATCAATTAGCGGCATATTCTAATGAGACCAAATTTAGCAATATTGTCTACAGCTATGGAAAATAATTTGATGTTTCATTACGGTAGATTCATATAGATTTTAAAAAAATTCATTGTATTCGATGAACTCATGATATCAAATATATTTTAATATAGGAAATGACGTAATCCATAAATTAACAAAAGACAACCCATCATCCCTTTATGTGTCCATCACTCTCCAGAATGGTACAACGCTGTATGAAATCTACAACCGATTCTCTGTCTCTGACGAAGCAGGAAAATATCAACTCTTTCTTGCAGGACCTGTCAATGGAATTTTAGGTGAGTGAAGTCACGTTAATTTCTTAAAATTAGGTTCAAATTACGTATATCATTATAATTATGCTTTTATGTATTGACAGGTTATAAAGTTGTTGAAAAAAGAGAAAGATGTGTTTTTTTCTGATATTTTGTATACGTTTTTGATTCCACGCTTATTAAACATGTTTAGTATTTCAGAATATCACTTGCAGGTACCATTCACGTATTCAGCAGATACTGAATTTGTTATTGTCAAGTAGATGAAAGAGCTAAAGCCACGAACCATCGAAATACGCCTTAACTAAAATATCAATGAGAATTTCAATAAAGATAGTGTAGACTTGTAGCTTTTCATAACTGTTTTCCTTTTTTAGATATCTATAATACTCTTTCAAGAAGAGATATGACAGTATGGCATTGTTTTGAATGAAATTTACATGAGGAACGTCATTATTTGTAACGTAACGTCATAACATCGTAAAAAGTCCTTTGCTATAGAACATTCAACATTAACTGCTTACTTTTGTACACCCGAGCGTTACAATAGTTCTCTATTTAAATATGTAGTTTTAAAAGTATTTAATACTCTAGACGTCTGTCACTGCATTATATGACATAATTATTATCTGATATACATGTAATAAATTCTAAAAAAAAAATTGAAATTTTGTGACAGGATAAATATAAAGTGAAGCCCGGCGCAGTAATGGTTAAATCTTTTTCCTAAACTATAATCTGGGCCTATTATAACGAAATAGAATTATCAAAGTGGGTACGTATGTTTTTGTCTATGTGACGACCCCCGATTATTCGTGCATTTTGACAATGAAATATATGTCTTGCAGAATTCTGGAAGTTTTAAAGAAAAAAAAGGGGGGTGCAAGTAACATGAATTTGATTTGAAAGATGAGTATAATAGATTGTAGCCCTAAATTCGAGTTTTCCTAGTTATATTACCAGGTATGTCATATTCCGCTAGTTAATATTGATATCACACGTATTTGGATTTAGATTTTTTTCTTTCATGTATGTATCTTTTCCTTTATGCAAAATTATACAGTGTATTTTTAATTCTCAGGTTCCATAACGCTATCACTTCTATTTTGTTTGGTTTTTTTTTTTTTTTTTTTTTTTTTTTTTGGGGGGGGGGGGGGGGGGTTACGTAAGACATACGTTTTAATTCTTTAATCTTAAATTATATTATTGTGTACTGCATTAAAAAAATCTGCGCCTATGTTTATTGTTGAAAAAATCAAGTATTTTAATCAACAAAGGATTGTTGCTTGTCTTCAATATTAAACTGAGACTCGTTTGTATGTAAAAATATTTAAAATCGCCATGCACACTCAGCATGGTTAGAATAGTACTACATGTACCCGGGAATGGGACGAATTATATTTCGACCACTTTCTCTACTTTTCTAGGAGATTATTTATCGCCGGTTTTTTTTTCTCTTCCTGCTCCTTTATCCGTGATAATCACTACATTGCTACAGTTTTTTTTATATATATTTGAAGCGAAACCAATCTAACTATCAGTCATAGTGGAGGGGCATCCTAAGTAACAATATGTCCCAATTAGCGTTCACTGTACTGAGATATATAGGTGTTATGTATATAAAATGAAGTGGAAATGAAAGCTTAACTTTTTTATCACTTATTTTTAATAATTGTCTTCCCCAAGTAACGCTTTACATCACTTATGCAGATATTTTCTTCTATCTGTAGATAATTCAGTAATATGTCCGATCCATGTTATGTCTGATCACTAGATGTGATTGAGAAAGCCGCAAGGCAAATCAATTACTACTAGAAGATAAATTAGGGTTCAAAATCCATGTTTATTTTTATTCATTAAATGTGTGCAAATCGTGAGTCTGACACCTTTTTATTTTAATCGGATAACCTCAGTATTTCCCTGAAAATGCATTCAGATGTTACAGAATTTCGGACACATTTGACACCTTTTTATTTTAATCGGGTAACTTCGGTATTTACCTCAAAATGCATTCAGATGCCACAGAATTTCGGACACCAGTTTCTATTGTGGTTACGAGACGTATTTTTTCTATAATGTATACGTGTGCAGATAGATCATCCCGAGTTATTCAATTTCAGAGTTATTAGATTACCAATAAATTTTTCTTTCTTTTTTCCTTCGGGAAAAAAATCTGCGTCGTATTATTTTTTTAAAGGTATGCCAAAGAAAAAGGTCTAAGACATCGTAAAAGGTTAATAAAGAAGGGAAAGCTGTGGAGAGAGAGAGAGAGAGAGAGAGAGAGAGAGAGAGAGAGCGTGCGTTTTAGAGCTTCGAGTTTTAAAATAATATTAGCTAACATTTACTGTAATCTTAAATGCATACTATTCATAAATGCTATATATTTCTTCAATCGAAATATCAGTGTGTAAACAAAAAAAACTATTTACTTTTTATGTATCCTAGAATACACATGGAGTTGCATGAATTTTATATATCAACTTCGGATTAGGCATTTTTTTTTATGTTTATAAACAAGATTTAAAACAAGTTTACGTTCAACATCTAGTGCTGGCAACATATTGGAAACTCGGCACAAATCAATTCTCAACACCTTTTTCTAATTATTAAATTATTTTGACAAACTTCTTCAAATTATTTTTGCTCAGATGCAGTAGACCTCACGGTCAGATTATGACGTCATCATTGTATCATGTACGTAAGCATGAGAGAAAAGAGCGTAATTTTAAATTTTATATGAAAGAACACATATTAAATGACAATTTAAGATATTCTATCACAAAATTATTGACAAATATGGGATTATATGATTATCAAGAATAAATCTGATATACTAATAACTAATTTAGGGTAATTACGCATATAATGAACATATAATTACTACTGAAATGGAGGATCTTGCTTCAATTTCTGAAAGCTCAACATTCATAAAATGTAAAATTCATATTGGCCACACGCAAGTACCTCTAGGATATTTTGCATGGAGGTGCCTATATATAATATTTTCATGCATGCAAAGTTTGGAAAGGGTACTTGAGTGTGGCCACATTCAAATTTCGATATAACTGCCGTAAAATCGGCGTTTTTAGGCAATTTTTAACTTCATAGGTATATTTGTCTCTGCGCATGTGCTAAAGACGGTGGCCTGTGTACCAAAAAATTATATATAGCGTACCATGAAATTGTGCTCTACAAAAAAACATATGAAAGGCTTCGTGGTTTTAGAATTAAATTTTGTCTAAAATTAAAGGCGGATATTGATAATTCGTGGCTTTAGCTCTTTCTAATTATACATTTTATGTACAAGGAAAATTATGTAATTTTTTATAAACAATTAAATCCAATAATTACATTTGTTCAACATTGTTATTCACCTTGGGTTTCCTGATTTTTGATAATTCACGTTTTAACTGATACGGAAAACGTTTACAGAGCATGTTATTCTGATTTCCAATGATTCACATTTATTATTACTACGGAATAGGAAGTTTACAGTGCGTCATTAATCTTAAATGTCGAAAGGTTTACGAAAATTTGTTGATAAAAAAAAAAATTTGATCGGATAAATATTCAAATAAAAAAAGCTTAAAAAGCCAAATTCAAAAGATCTCAATGCGTTTCACATTTACATTTATTGAATAGGAAATTAATCATCTTAAAACATTCAGAGATACACCATATCTGATCTCGTTATTAATGATTTACGTAGTATTGCATGTTATACCTGTTTCATTGTCTCGGACAAATATTAGAATTTTATTTGTCATGTTTTCTTAAATTTTCACTGACCCTTACACCCCCCCCCCCCCCCCGCCCTAAATGTTACCATGCTTAAAAGTGTAACACGTCTGTTGTTTATTGTTACACTAGAAAGGATGCCATGTGAATTGTGCAGTGTTTTGTTGTCTTGTATATTTTTATCTCTTTTTCCAGGAAACAACACGTTAAACTGCGTATCTCAGACGTACTTCAATATTAAAATCAATGTGATATAAATTAATAATTAATATCTCTGTTATTTATTGTGATTCTAAATCTGCAGGTGCCAGTATTAAGATATGGGGATTCAATGACAGAACTAAATAAATATTATTGCCTTTTCCAGCACCTGAAGGCGTCTTTCTTAGAAGTACCTCAGTTTTATTATTGACAAATAATTTAATTTTATTTGTATTCTTGCCTCTCATTGGTTGATTTCCAAAAAGGAACGCATAACATTTTGTATAATCTGGTTTGGTATGGGGACACACCCCCTTGACGACCAGGTTAATCATCTTATCCATGCAATCCCCTCATTTCCAGTCCTCGGAATCCATGGAAAACTCAAGATTTAATAACTGTATCTTTAACTTCAAACACCTACTCGATCTTACCTCATGATCATGTAAACACACAACATGGCTGCTAGATCTAAGTATCAGTTATTACCTCCCCATCGCTTCACATCACTTCCGTTTCTAAGGTTGTATTATTGCGTGGTAAATTTGAACTCGTAAAAAGCAACACAATTTTACATCCAAAGTTGTTAAATTCTTTTAAAATTAAATTATAAGGAATGACTCTAATTCTTGGCCAAATTATCGAGTATAATATGGTTTGGATCAGTTTACGCTTTTTTATAATCCGCTTCGCGGATTATAAAGCGTAAACTGATCCAAACCATATTATACTCGATAATTTGGCCAAGAATTAGAGTCATTCCTTAATTAGATTAAAAATATATTAATCAATTAACTTTGTGTTTCTTTTTGTTTGATTTTACAGGGGACAGTATGTTAAATACAGGTATTATTTTACCACGATCTGTCTGGGATGTTCTTCTCCACCCAGACAGAGGTCACAACGAGTATAGTGAATATAACTCTCCTTATCTATTTTAAACAAGTGTCCATGTATATTTGTCTTTGATAATTTTACAGGTGACTCTATGTTAGACACTGGTTACCCTAATAACTACGATCTGTCTGGGATGTCCTTCTCCACCCCAGACAGGGATAATGACAGGTGGGGTGGTGTTAACTGTGCTGCTCGCAGTGACCGTAGAGGAGGCTGGTGGTTTAATATCTGTCACCTCGCCTTCCTTAACGGTCAATGGTCCCCGGCGTCCTGGTCCTACCCATGGTATCCCACAGTACAGAGTGGTACGTTAGTGAAGGAGACCACCATGATGGTCAGACGTCACTAGGTAAACATCATTACATCTTAATGTAAGTCACTCCTCAAGTTTGTTATATCAAGGATTTTTTGAGAAGTATATTTTGGATAATTACTCATAAAGTTTAACTCAAAATCGCAAAGAAAATAGGGGGTCAGTGTGCATCCTACTGATCTACGGTACATTTAAGTTGACCTTTTTGCACTTAAATTTCATCTCTTTGGGTAATTTACTTTAACCCTTATTATATTTGATTAGATGTAAGCATGGAAATAAATATAATCTTATTTTACGTAAAATAGTTTGAATAACTTTAAATAGATCTTGCAAATTAATGCGCGTAAATTATTGTTTGATCTCTTTGCACTAAAAAATAACATATTTGGGGTATTAAAAAATTTAATAGGCAATAAAAAAATTTCTTGTATCAAACTTTTTTACGACTTGAGTGCTGATCAGTCAAAAGTATCGAGTAGTTTAAAATAATGAAAGAAAAAGTTGGGGTCAGTGATGTTAATTTTGAAATATTTGTCAAAATATGTGATTTTCAGGCAAAAAATGGTGTAAATTTGACCTTGACTTATATTTTCATTTCTTGGGAAAGTTTGTTGAGGGAAGGTGTAAAACTAAGTCTAGAAATATATATTAAGACCTATATTAAATATTTTTGGCAATGTCAAAACGGAAAATATTCTCAAAGTAAAAGTATGTGAGGCTAAATTTCCATTACATTAAATAAATGTGCAGATTTGCAGAATTTTCTGCTAAATATCCTTCCACCAAAAGAAATAGTCCCTCATAAATCTTGCTTCTTTGTTGATTTTTGAGCAGTTTTTTTCATTGAATGTTATAAAATGTACATTGTTGAACATTAATATGTCATAAAATTTGAATTTTTATTAGTAGTTTTGAAGTAAAAGCTTCTGCGTGAACTTTTCTAAAAAGCCGAGGAGTGACTTACCTTAATATCCATTTTTTTTCTTTTTGTATCACTCTGAAATTTTCATTTATAAAAGTTGTATTTTTAAGAAAAAATATGCTATCATACATTTATCTTTGAAGTATAATTTTTTTTTTAACAGACGAAAGATCATCGATGGATTATGGAAACCCTCAAGAGACGATTTTAAATTAATTTAATCGCTGAGTTCTTTTTTTTTTTAATTAAAGAAATATTTAACGATATGTTATCGGTAAAGGAAGGGGGTTGAACTGCTCTGTAAAGAGATACTGAATGTAAAAGATGTTCTTCATATGTGTTGTAATAAATTTGAAATAAGAAATATTTCGTTGTTATTTACAAACACTGATAAACGGAGATGTTTGTACGGATAATTAGGAAGTAGATTGCTTTATTGTTAAACCTATTACAGTGGAACCTGTTTAATCCGACACATTAACAATATGTTTTACTGTGGGGTCCGCCATTCAATATCATTCCTCATTTATACTAATGTCAATAATCTTTACTCGCTGCGATACTACACCTTTTTTATTCCATTACATACATTTGTAATTTCTCTTCACGGTGCAAGTCGAATAAGACAGGTTTCTTTGTAATAAAGATGTTTAAAATATATATATTAGGTATATTTGATGTTCATGTTTTGCAGTATAGTACGTATAAGATTATGCTTCTCTAAAAAACATGCCCTTTTCTTTTTCCACCCATACATTATTTTGAATGAATGAACATTTATTATGCATTAATCTACTGTACAAAAACTGCTAAATTGTTACTTTTAATATCATGGATAAAATAAGCTAAACAGATGAAGTCAAACTTTCTAAATATTTCTTTACATAAATCTAAGTGATATCTTAAATATATTTAGATAGCTTGAATTTTAGGATCGGCAAGAAACGCAAAGATATCAGGTTCACAATGATACTAGATTATGAGCTTAAAGTAATTTTTTAAAAAATCACATTTTCTGAAGATCAGTATCTTCTATTTGAATGAGGGAAAAATTTTTGTTTTGTCGTTGAATGTAAAAGATACGTCATAGTTAACATATATCGATACTGCTTTTTTTAATTTCAAAACACCATTACAAAGATCGGGGGTCAAAAGGTTTCAATGTGTAATAGGTGTTTTATTCTGACGTCAAAAACGTTTAATGCCGTGCAAAAGCAAAGCTATAAACGAAGATAAAAAAAAATAATCATTTAAATTGATTGATACTTACGTTAGACATAATTCATGTTTTCTAAATAATGAATCAAATTTACAAAACAAGAAACGGAGAAAGAAAAAGTAAATATATAAGCACTGATTCATTATTTTTTGAAAGATGTAGTCTTATATATGCAGCGATCTTCGCATACAGATTTTCATTACGCGCGCTGGCGCATTACTAAATATGTTTGCAAATATCTAAGCATTTATAAGACTACATCTATTGAAAAAAAAACGTTGCATTGCTTAAGTAATGACACAAATATCGATATAAGTGTTAAGGTTTTCTCTATAATGAGATTTGTAGACCATGGTACATCAATTAAAAAATAGTAGACTACAAATTAGAACTTATAGATAAATAAATCGGATTTTTCTTTTTCGGAACTAATAAGATTCAAGATGTGTTTCTAAGACAAAGGTACTCTCGTACTGCAGCTTATGGTGGATGTTGTTGTTTGCAGGTCAAACATAACAGTCAAGAGAAAATTAGTTTTGGTATCAAAAGAAACATTTCTCACAATGAGTGTACCTTCGAGAAATAAAAACCATAAAAGCAGCAACAGCTCAATAATCCTGACCAAAGTTAGAGATTTTCAAAAGTATGTAAAACTGGACAAGGTCGAGTGTCAATAATAATGATGCCCAAAAGGATTTCACAAGGACACACAGGTGAAATATTAAAGTATTCCCATGTTCTGTCCAACTTTTTTTTCAAAAGAAAGTCAAAGTTTGAGATCCAAATAATAGGATATAAAATAAAAATATATATTAGTTTTTCAGAGAAGCTCTTAGGACAAGAAATAAACCAGTAAAATTGAAATCCCCTAGCACTAATAATTCAGGAGATACCGTCAAAGTTAACGTTTTTATAAAGTGGGACAAATCCATCAGTTCAAGGTCAAAGGTCATTACTGAGGAATAGGATATCACTTGATTTAACAACAGTTATAAGATTAATTTTTTTAAAGTGGGTCAAACATAAAGATCAGTCAAAGTGTTTACGTGTGGAATACACCTGTGAAATATTAAAGCTATAGCTCATTTGACTAAAGCTTAAATTCCAAAATGAAAGTCAAAATAAAGAAAAAAATAAACCCAAGGATAGGTCTTTTCATATTTTATTCACATGTGACTTACAGATAAATCAGCACAAAAGATAACAAACAAACAAACAGATGAACCGACCATCACAGCAAAATATATTTGTCCCTTCTTTTTTGGATTTTGTCCTAAAATTTTTGTATGTATCGTGAAAAGAGATCCCAGTATGTTTCCTTGCCAAGATAACAAAATACCACAGTATAACGTACAGTCTGTCTTTGTGTACATGCTATTCATAGTTTTTTAAAACACGGGGATAAATCAAAGTTTCTTCTGAAGAGACGAATATACGATCCGACGTAAACATAAGAAGACCCAATTAAATGATTCAGAACTTTTTACAACATGGTAAATGAAATTCATAAAAAATAGTTAATGGTTGCAAATATTTATTTTTACTCAAAGAAAATGGAACTTTATGTTACAGAACACTCTTCAGGCTACAAATGAAATGGAGAATCCTCACAAATAAAGGGAAGTACTAGTCCGTCTTCTCCTGTATAGTACGTCACCCAGCGCCACCTACCGTCGTTATGATAAGTCAAAAGGAGACCAAAGATTGGGTCAACTGCTGTCTCGCCCTCGTCGTTAGGATTCCAGTTCTGATACGTCACAGGAGTCCAATTATCAAAAATGAGACTTTCATTGTCGTCAAATGTCAAAACATTGGCACGAAATGCAAATGAACCGTTGAGATCAACTTCTGCAGAAAAGGAAAGGAAATAATACACAATTCTCAAAAACCTATACACTTTGTATAATTGTCATAACTTTAATGTATGAATAAAGATTACAACTACTTTGTGAAGAATGATTTTCGCTCTTCGTATGTAATATGAATTAAAATTCTAAAAAATTATAAAACTTCAATTTTTGTCCACATGCAAAGGGGAATTATCCTTTCTGCGTCATGTGATAGAAAAAACATTTAGGAAAAAAGTTTAATATATCAACCATAGAACTTATGAAATGATGAATTTGAACATGACTGCTAATCTTGTTTCATCAATTATTTGTCAATAGTTTACCTCGTTTTAGACATTGTTCATAGATAGAGCATGATCTTGCGTACCGAATCAAATGAGACATATGAGCATACTCCTACCAATTTTAAAAGACCCTTTCTTTAAGGGTGTATTACAAACACTGGGCCAACATTGGGCCAACATACTACTACCAACTTTATATTGGGCCAACATCAACATTCCTCCTTCCTTGAGAAGTAAAGTGAATGGAAGTTGCTAACGTTGGACCAACGCTGGGCCAACATAGGCATTCTGTCATGGTCGAGAAGGTTGGCATGGTGACATTGGTCCAACGTTGGCCCAACGTTGTTCCCCCAACGCCAACCATACAATCTTTTGCCAATGTTGGCCTAACATAGTCTTGCTATCTGGGTTCATACTTGATTTTGGATGATTCATTTGTAAAATTTTACCTGCCATGAATAAAATTCGTCCTTCTTGTCTACAGTGTGAATAAGTCCTTCATAAACACCGAGGATCGTGAACTTCAGAACAAAGGTCCGCGCCATTGCACCCATTCCTGCTCCCGGAAGTGACGAAGATTTAATGGAGAATCCTGGAGGCGTGGTCAGATTAGCTCTCTGGTGTGGCACGGAACCTAGAGAAGGATATGGAAATAACGAACAGTATTCAATCTCAACGTCCATTAAACAAATATAAAAAATAAGAGCAGAGCAAACACAGACCTCCGTAAAACCCAGAGGTGGGATCAGGTGCCATGGAGGAGTGAGCATCCCTGCCGCCCGGTCACACCCGCCGTGTGCTCGTTGTCATAATCAGGAAATAACGGAAAAAATCCGTGGTCAATTCGGTGTATAAATAATGGACTAACAATTGTTATGAAAAACGTCAGTCAGCATTTCATTCAATGATAAATTGTATTTGCTGACAAGGTCATTGTATCGACCATAGAATTTACGAAATGATGACTTTAAACGAGACTGTTGATATTCTTATCTAATCAGCTTGGTTGTCAATAATTATCCTCGTTTCAGAAATTGTTCATACGTAGAGCATGCTCTTGCGTATCGAATCAACTGAAATATAAATACTCCGTATGCAGGTGATGAAGGTATATTGCTGCATAAGTAAGGAAATTAAGTTGACGATAGAAAAATTAAAGTCATCACGTTTATCATATAGCTTGGTTGTTATATTACCATTAGTGTCTTTTTCAAGTAAAATATCCAAGTATGAAGCAGAATTGTCGGACTCTGTGGTATCTTTTATCTCAAGCTCACCAGGATATATCGTGTCGATGTAGGAATTGAAATTATCATTATTAATTGACAATATGTCGTTGATATATCTAAATGTCGAGTTGAAGGCCATAGCAAGTGTTTTCTTCTTTTCACGTAAGATATTTTGCATAAATTCTGCTTCATTTGAATATAAAAATAAGTCTGCTTATAACGGAGCGCAATTTGTACCCATGGCAATTCCAATAGATTGTTGGAATACCTGGTCTCCAACATGTACAAGATAATGTCAAGGACACGAAACAGAGGTCAAGGACTCATGATTTTAAGTATAATATTAACTTCTTACATGATTTATCTCACTACTTATATAACATTTAGACACAAGCAAAGTCGGTGAAACTCTACTTAAGGGAAACTTAATGGTAGAGGTCTAGCATTAAGGAAGCTCTAAACACTGCACATTAAAGAGTTCATTATGCCCCTATCAGAGAGACCTTTGGTCTACCAACCAGTTTAGTGTATTTTTGTGTTGAAGTATTGCCTGTATAGATATTTAAGATACGACATTTTTGGCATTCTAATATGTATCGTGAAACAAACTCTAAACGATACATTTTTTTCATGTTGCTATACATACCTTTGAATTAGGAATGTGTTTATATTTAGAACTTTGTACAACATGCTTAATGAAATCTTCACAAACTGAGGAGAGAAAATAAATACACTTAGAATATTGTCCTTACATGGTTAAACCAATATCTTTTTAGCATAACAAACGTTCAAAGTGTCTATTCATGGAAGCACTCTGACAATCTAAGTGTGTATTATCACCGTCTTTATTTGAGAGGTAGACCTTTATCAACTTATCATAACATGTTAGTAAGGCATTTTCAGAATCTGATCCAATTTTTTTTGTATTTCCTTTACTTTTTTTAAACCAGTTTCTTATAAAAATCTAATTTACGATTGAAATATGTACAAACTGACAGACAAGGACATTTCATTTGATCCTTTTCTTTAAAAAAAAAGCAACAAACAAACACTCATTATAGTAAGAGTTATTTCTCCTGTCAGGCTGTTGGAGTACAGTAATACTTACAGTTTTTCTTCTCAGCCTCAATGTCCAATTCCTTTTGAGCAATCTTATAGAGTTCCTGTTAATGTAATATAATAACTGTTAAAATAATTGAGTTCCTGCTAATGTAATAGTGTTCCAATAAATGTAATAGAGTTTCAATGATAGTAAGAGAGTTTCAATGATAGTAATAAAGTTCCTGATATTGTAATACAGTTCCTGTTAATGTAATAGAGTTCCTGTTAATGTAATAGAGTTCCTGTTCATGTAATAGAGTTCATATTATTGTAATAGAGTTCCCGTTATTGTTTTAGAGTTCCTTTTTGTGATAGAGTTCCTGTTATTGTAATATAGTTCCTGTTAATGTGATAGAGTTCCGGTTATTGTAATAGAGTTCATGTTCATGAAATAAGAGTTCGTGTAATAGAATTCCTTTTATTGTAATAGAGTTTTTGTTGATTTAATTGAGTTCCTGTTCATTTAATAGAGTTCGTGTAATAGAAGAAGGATATGGAAATAACCAACAGTATTCAATCTCAACGTCCATTAAACAAATATACAAAATAGGAGCAGAGCAAACACGGACCTCCGAAACATCAGAGGTGGGATCAGGTGCCATGGATGAGTGAGCATCCCCTGCCGACCGGTCACACCCGCCGTGTGCTCGTTGTCATAATCAGGAAATAACGGAAAAAATCCGTGGTCAATTCAGTGTAAAAATAATGGACTAACAATTGGTATGAAAAACGTCAGTCAGCATTTCATTCAATGATAAATTGTATTTGCTGACAAGGTCATTGTATCGACCATAGAATTTACGAAATGATGACTTTAAACGAGACTGTTGATATTCTTGTTTCATCAACTTGCTTGTCAATAATTTACCTCGTTTAAGAAATTGTTCATACGTAGAGCATGCTCTTGCGTATCGAATCAACTGAGATATAAATACTCCGTATGCAGGTGATGAAGGTATATTGCTGCATAAGTAAGGGAAGTTGACGATAGAAAAGTTAAAGTCATCACCTTTATCATATAGCTTGGTTGTTAGATTACCATTAGTATCTTTTTCAAGTAAAATATCCAAGTATGAAGCAGAAGTGTTGGACTCTGTGGTATCTTTTATCTCAAGCTCACCAGGATATATCGTGTCGACGTAGGAATGGAAATTGTCATTATTAATTGACAATACGTCGTCGATATATCTAAATGTCGAGTTGAAGGCCACAGCAATTGTTTTCTTCTTTTCACGTAAAAGATTTTGCATAAATTCTGCTTCATATGAATATAAAAATAAGTCTGCTAATAACGGAGCGCATTTTGTACCCATGGCAATTCCAATAGATTGTTGGAATACCTGGTCTCCAAAAACCACATAGATATTGTCAATCAGAAACTCAAGCATCTTCTTGATATCAACTTCAGAGTACTTATGTGTGCAATCAGAATCTGTTTTAACAAAATAATTTTTCAAATGACCAATGACGAGGTAAGTAAACTTACGAGTTCCATTTTTGTTGAAGAAGCAGCTGTCAATGATATCAAAAAGCCTGGATTTTAATTTGTCGTGGGGAATTGTTGTGTATAAAGTTGAGAAGTCGTAAGTTTTTATGCTGTTGATTTTTGTAAAGTCTTGTGATTTCAAATTGTCCAAAAGTTCTTTAGAATTTTTAAGTATCCACATCTGATTTACACCACTTCTTGAATATATAGTTGTACAGTACTCTTGAAGTTTTTCCTTCACTACTGTCAACATTTTAGTGAGAAGTAACGAAAGAGGCTTGGTTGAACATTTACTGGAACCTGCAATGTATCTTTGTTTGTAAGGATTCTTATGAAGTTTCGGAATCCAATATATATAAGGTAGTTCAAATTCATTTTGGCTCTGTGGAATATTAAAAGTATTCAAAACTGACAGGTGATTTTGAAGAATTTCTTCCTTAGAAAGAGAAGTATATGTATAAGTAGGATTACCACTTGTAGAATTAAATCCAAGGTCTTCTAGAATGCAATTTATATAATGAGCCTTACAAACGAAGATAATGTTGTTACCTGCTTTGTCGGCAGGAACCAGTACGTACTGATCGTGTAATCTATCTAATTCTTTTTTCACTTCTGGTTTATTGAACACAGAAGGATAGATGGTTTTCATTTTGCCCCTCAATCTTTTAATACGTGACTTTAACATGGATCTGATACATTTAATCCATTCTGACAAGGTGTCAATGTCTTCTTTTTCATATCTAGCCCATCGTCTGGCGTAATTTTCAACAGAATCCATAATATTTATGAAATTCCGATGCCAGTTGAAGGATCGGGGTTCCCTATATTTAGGACCTTTTAATATAAGTGATCTAAGGTCCTCATTACGAACTATTTTTACGTCACCTGTAATAACGTGTCCAGCAGGACTATACTTATAGGTTGAAGAAGAACATGAACACGAAGGGGGATTATTTTTCAGATAGTCGATATCCAGGCCATGTAAAGTGTTTTTGTAATTGAAAAGTTTGGAAGCAATGGTCGATGTATATTTGTAGGAAATACAAGGCGTAGTCTTTAACTTGAAATATGGTGGAATACAAGACTGGACCCTTTTGTGATTAAGAATATTACTAATATTAACCGCGTCAATTCCTTTATTGGCATATTGAAGTTTAAGGAAAAGACGGATTGTTTTAGTTGCATTTTCTTCCGTGAAACGTGCGGGTTTAAAAAGCCTATGATGAGCAATATCCATAATCACAGAACCGAGCCTATATTCAGGTGTCGAGGAATCTAAATTTGGATGTTCCTTGGTCTTTTCAAGAAGACTATTTAAAAGTTTCAAAGGGACAGAGTAAAGTTTGGTTGGAATATGATGTAGACCTAACTGTTGATTTACATAAGGTAGTAATGAATCAAAAGAGACGTCGTGTATTGCAGGTTTCAAGTGGCAAAGTTCAGTAATTATGACCAAAGTTAGAGATTTCAAAAGTAGGTCAAAGTGGACAAGGTCAAGGAGTCAATATAAAAAAATACCCAAAAGAATGTCACAAACAATACATAGGTGGAATATAAAAGTCACAGAGTCAACCATTCGAAAGTCATCATCAAAGTTTTCTCAAAAGATGGTCAAAGTCTGATGTCCAATTAAAAGGATAAAAATATAAAAAAGAAAAAATATAGGTATTCAAGAAAAGCTCTTACCACAAGAAATGAACCGGTAAAATAGTTGACCTCTACCACAAAATATTCAGTAAATACTTCAAAAGTTTACGTTTTTGAAAATAAGTTCTAATACATAAAATCAAGGTTAAAGGTCATTGCTGCTTGTTCTCAAGAGAAGGTCTTATCAAAATATAAGCGTGAGGAGTATGATATCACTTGATTTAACCGTGTAATAGCTATGACAAAGAATAAAATTAAAAAAAAAAATTGAAAGTGGGTCAGACAAAACGTTCAAAGTAAAAAAAAAATACTTTTACCCCAAGAAAAGTTCTTACACGTTGAATACACCAGTGAAATATTAAAGTAATGGTTCATATGACAAAGGCTCAAATTCCAAATTCCAAACTGATCGTCAAACTAAAGAAAAGTCCTGTGAAATATGAAATATGAAATCCATGGCTCAAACCAATTAAAGACTGTAGTTAGGGCTAATTGATTTACCACTTACAGATAAATCAGGAAAAGAAATAACAAACAAACAATTGGACTGACCGTCCTAGGAAAATATATTTTCCCCTTATTTTTGGATTACGGATAGAAATTGAAAAAAAACACTTCATGCTAAAATAGGAGCAGTAGAAAAGATAAAGATGTTTATTTATTTATAGGATTTTAAAACCTGCTGAACCTTTAACACTGTGTTGTCGTGTTTTTAAATAGTTTAACTTTAATGAGGTGAACCTTTGTTTTCACCAACATAAATAAGTTCAAAAAAAATTAGACGACATTCAGTAGACAGCGTCATAGTAATTTAGTTGATGAAAAATTTAAAATTTGAACCAAATTAAATGTAGAGTTATCTCTCTTGTCTTAGAGAATCTGATTGTGACACAAGGAAAACCATAATGTAAAAGGCTGGAAGCAATCTTTTTTTTAACACACGATACAGCTAACTTAATGTGTTGAATGAAGAATCACAACGTATTTTTTTTTTATCATAGCGTAAATCATTAGGAAAATTAGTAATACAAACATATACAAACTGATTTTCCCTCTAAATACCTAAATACCTCTAAATACCTATTGATGAAGGAGGCTAGTCTGATGGATGTACATATAAGAATACTAGTATCTTATTAATGACATTATATAAGTTTTGATAATTCGTCATAATGAGAGAGAGAGAAAAAAGAAAGATATGGAAATAACGAATAGTATTCAATATCAAAGTCCATAAAACAATACTGAATAGGAGCATAGCAAACACGGACCTCCGAAACATCAGAGGTGTGATCAAGTGCTATGGCTGAGTGAGCATCCCCTGCTGACCGGTCACACCCGCCGTGTGCTCCTTGTCGGGAAATAACGGAAGTCCGTCATCAATTCAGTGTAAAAACAATGGATTAGAAATAAGTATGAAAACTTCAGTCAGCATTTGTCTCAATGACAATTGTATTTGCTGACAATATCATTGTATTAACCATAGAATTTTTACGTAGAGCATGCTCTTGTGTTACGAATTAAATGAGATAAATATATACACAGCGTATACAGATGATGAAGGTACATTGCTACATAAGTAACGGAAGTTGACGTTTATCATATACCTTGTTAGATCACCATTAACGTTTTTTAACTAAAATATCCACGTATGAAACAGATGTGTCTCAAACTCGGCAAAATATGTCCTAGCTATATAGGAATGGAAATTACCATTGTTTACTTTAGATATATCTGAAATTTTAGTTAAAGGCCACAGCAAGTGTTTTCTTCAATTCAGGCATACGATTGTGCGCAAATTCTGCTCTATATGAATATAAAAACTTTCATTCAGCAGGTTTATCATCTACGTAAAGAAAAATGGGTGTCATATTCATTAAATAAAGAGTGTCATGTATATTAAATGCTTACAGCGACGATATTCATCGA